AGAAATAGATGCTACATAAAAAACAATTGATGGCAAAATACTTATGTTAATTAGCATTTATTATAAAATGGAAAAACTAGCATTAGGTTATTTCTAAGAAACAGTATTGTTGGAGGATCATAGATCTGATCTGACAAACTTCAAAACTGAGAAGAGTCTTTCCACACTGACTTGAGTAGGAGGAAGAGCTGTTACTGTTAGGACTACTTCTTTTAACTTCTCAGGACAGATTTTTATAAGTTCTAAAAAGAGGTGCAAGAGCAATCATGTTTCTCTATTTCTTCAAAGGCCGAGTAGAAATTTTGTTTGTATTTTTGCATTTTTACATCTAAAGGCTCTTGGTTCTTTATTTTCATTAGCTTTGCTTTAGCCTTTTCAATATTATCCAAAAATATTTCTCAAATCTAATTCATCACTGAAAGAGAATGATCACTGAAAGAGAGACTCAGTTGCAATGTCTGCAGTTTGACTGTCCTGATTTGAATACTCCAATTGTTCTGAAAATAATTTCAGTCTTACTGAAAGTTCAAAGATGGCTTTCTTTGCCTTCTTAATTTGCTTGTCATCCAACAAAATTCGGTATTTAGATCTATATACAATCAAAAGTCTTTAATCCGGACGTCCATAATTCGGAATGATCTATAATCCGGACCTCAAAGCTACAAACTTTCTGCGCATGCGTCAATGCATAATGTGTTAACGCATATGCATAATACCTTTACGCATGCGCATATGCATCTACGCATGCGGATAATACGTTTACGCATGCGCGTTTAATGCATAAAGGATGGTATAAGCTAAGCTAAAATTATCTATTTCAGTTAATGTTGCAGACTGCATTGTTCCTTAATCTTCTAATTGGATCCGGCTTATTATTTTTTGCAGACTGTTAGAGCAATTTTATAAAAGTAAGCTTGAACTTTCGATTATGTCAAAAAGAATTTCCGATTCTGGAGCTACCAAAGGATCTACAAAGCGAAAGCATGTTTCGAGGTCCATCAAACAAAAAGTGGAATTGCTGCAAAAAATGGATAAAGGCATACCCATTGATTCTCTAACCATTCCGAAATATGTTTATCAATTTCACACTGCTCTGCGGGGAAGCGGGGAGGAGCGACGTGGCGCCCAATAAATTGGAAGTTGATCTGTCAGCACTATCCTTATCTTCAGGGCATATGTTTTTATTTTATTTGGCTTATAATTCCTTACTAAATGTAGTATTTCATCTCGATGTACTCCGTCTTTGATATGATTTAAATCAAATTCATTATAATATCACGAATACACATCAAATAGTTTTTCTGGTTGCAATTTTTTAATTTCGAATATGCGTAATGTATGCTTTATGCATGTGCACGTTGAAAGAAATGTTTAATAAAGTAAACAAATAAATATTAAGCTTCCTTTTTTTTTTTTTTTTTTTTTTTGGTGTGTGTGTGTGTGTAAATTTGATACCCTTTAGATCATAATTGCTCTTTATTTCATAAATTACGGTTCATATTTTTAATTTTATAATTTCTGCATGCCATCTAACCAGATTTAAACTAATGATCTATAATCCGGAAAAACCGATAATCCGGAATCGCCAAAGTCCCCGACTTTTGACTGTATATTGAATCTAGCAAATTCTCATTGTCTGGCAAACTAGTTTCTCTTTTCTTCATTGAAGAAATAATTTCTTCTCCAATAAACCCTCTATTCCAGAGAGAACAAACATCACATTCTTCCATTCTCACCTACTCTTAATTCTTCAGATTGTAGCTTTTTTTGTGGAAAGAAAGAAGAGTTTCCAATTTTGGAAGATCACAGTCTTCCTGTTAGTGAAACATTTGGGTTATCTAGATCTTCTGCAAAAGTTCTTAACTCTAACAACCTCTATATCGTCAAATATGTACTTCCCCATCGCATTGCTTGATCAATAATAGCTGCTTTTCCTGCTCGCTTCCTAAAAATGGCATCAGTTTTGGGAGTTCTTACTGCTATTGTTTTTTACCTAAATTTGCCAGTGATATTTGTAACTAAATGTTTAATCACTAATGACAAATATCACATCCATCCTCCCCCCTCTCTCTCTATACAGTCAAAAGTCGTTAATTCGGACACCCATAATCCGGACCTCAAAGCTACAAACTTTCTGCGCGTGACGCATGCATGCAAGACCTTTACAGCTGCGAATACGCGTGAGTGCATGCGCGAAATACGTTTACGAATGCATGTTTAATGTATAACGGACGGTATAAGTTAAGATAAAATTATCTATTTCAGTTAATGTTGCAGATTGCGTTGTTCCTTAATCTTCGAATCGGATTCGGCTTATTATTTTTTGCAGACTTTTAGAGCAATTTTATAAAAGTAAGCTTGAACTTTCGATTATGTCAAATAGAATTAATGATGTATATTTACTAATATGTAAAGGATCTACAAAACAAAAGTATGTTTCGAAGTCGATTAAACAAAAAGTGGAATTGCTGCAAAAAATGGATAAAGGCATATCCTTTGTTTATTTAAACTTTGTTTATCTTTAACGCTGTGGTGTGCAGTGAATTGGAAGTTGATATGTCAGCACTATCCTTATCTTCAGGGCACATGTTTTTATTTTATTTGGCTTATAATTCCTTACTAAATGTAGTATTTCATCTCGATTTACTCCATCTTTGATATGATTTAAATCAAATTCCTCGTCATTATAAATCGCTTCCGATAGCGAAGAAAGTAACAGAGGTTATTTAAAATGAAAAAATTTCGATTGACAAATTAGTCGGTATTCTCGACACAGCAATTATAGGGCTTGAACAGCGGAACTTTGTAACTGAACAAGAAATTATGTCTGTTTATAGAATTAAAGAGAATGTATTATCACATAAAAAACGAAGCAACTTAAACAACTTACATTGAAAGAAATGTGTAATAAAGTAAACAAATAAATATTAATCTTTTTTTTTTTTTTTTTGTAAATTTCGATACCCTTTAGATCATAATTGTTCTTTATTTCATAAATTACGGTTTCATATTTTTAATTTTATAATTTCTGCATGCCATCTGACCAGATTTAAACTGATGATCTATAATCCGGAAAAATCAATAATCCGGAAACGTCGAAGTCCCGACGAGTCCGGATTAACGACTTTTGACTGTATTTATTTATATGTCAATAAAATTGAAAATAACTATTTATTAATGTATATAGTCCATAAATAAAAATAATAACTCAGTTTGTCATTGGTGTTTTTTAAATTCACTTTAATTTCATTTCAAATTCAAACTGTCCAACAAAAACTGAGTCGGAGTCACCCTGATTTTAATGACTCCAGCTTCGACTCTTACCCAAAAATTTGCCCAACTCCAAAGCCCTGGTTGAATGTTATGGAAATCCTATTATAATATAATTGGTTGCATTACTGCAGTGAATTTGCAAGGGCCTGTCGTGTGTGTTGGTTAGGAAGTACATTGCTTGTTTTCTGGTTTAGACAGTAAAATGGCTGAATGTGGTAAGATTAATTTGAAGTTTCTGTACGATTTGGAAAGAAAGGGGAAAAGCGCATTACTTGACTGGTGTGTAAATGGTTTACTTGGTAGCCATTATTAAGTGTTCTGTTTGTAGGAATGAAATGTGTATGGTCAACCCTACGAAGGATATTTTTGACTCTTATTTTGTGAATTTATGTGGCGACGCCAGTATAGAGACTCTAGTTCAGATAATGTTAGGAAGGTTTTGGATGCTGTTAACGAATTTTGTTTAACTGAAGACGTGTTAATTCATAAATAAGGTAAGTGGATATTTGTCTTATGTAGTGCAAAGATGAATTTCCTTTTTTATGTTATTTCATTGTTAGATTTAAAATTTAGTTTATTGAGATTATATATATTTTTTGTTGGCTGCTCCTTTGACTTTCTAAGTGAATATAGGGTAAAAGTTTACAATTGGGTGCCCCTTGTTTTTTGGCAATTCTTGTTTGATGCTAAGATCAGCATCAGGAAGGCACAATTTCAAGATGGCTGCTACATAAAACCAAAATAAGAAGTCAAAGACTTGCTCAAACTCTGTGTCCATGTATCTGTTTTCACTTAAAAAAAATAAAAAAAATCCTAGAATTGCAGAAATAAGGCATTGCGCACTGCCTTATATTCGTCCATGTACACATCAATCTATTTTCATTTAAATAAAATCAGGAAGCTAAAACAAAGTTAAACTATCATGGTAACGAGAAGTGAGGTTTCATAACCAAAATTTAAAAAAAAATTATCGCTAATCGATAAAGCGCCCAATTCTACACTAGAGTTGAATATTAGTTTGATGTGTACATGAACAAAGTCAAGGGTGTGCACAATGCCTAGTTTGTGCAATTCTCTGATGCTTTTTTAAGTGAAAATAATTCGATGTGTACATGGATAAAGTCAAGGGAGTGCGCAATGGCAAGTTTGTGCAATTCTGGGATGTTTTTTTAAGTGAAAATAGGTCAATGTGTACATGGATACTGATTATGTGCAATTCTTTGTCTTGTTATTTTGCCTTTGTGTAGCGGCGATTTTTACGTGCACAATGGCAAGTTTGTGCAATTCTGAGATGTTTTTAGAGTGAAAATAGGTCGATGTGTACATGGATACCGAGTATGTGCAATTCTTCGTCTTGTTATTTTGCCTTTGTGTAACGCCTACATTTCGCCGCGACATTTGCCAAAATAACAAGTCAAAGAATTCTACAAAATCGGTATACATGTATCGCCAATTTTCGCCAAGGGTTACCCGTAAACATACTTTTACCAATTTAAATATGCATTCTTTTAGTGTATTCAGGTTTTACAAAGTATTAAATAATGTGAACTAGATAACAAACCAGTAAAATAAAATTAAAATGTTTATTCGGAAAACATATAACTATAAACAACACTGTATTTAATAAATATGTCAGCCTTCGAAAACAGAGAGAAACTAAAAACTACGTTTTAATTATCCGCAATACATTTCTTAAATTTTAACAAAAATTGCTCATCAATACTCACTCGCTTGATCTGTGGGATTCATGTATTTCCCACTTTTAGTGGTGTTGATAGAACGTCTGCCCATTTTGATTCAAAACGAATCCTTTAAATACTTAATATTTCAAAACATGGAATTAAGTAAATATTAATTGTGAAATAAATAACCAATTAAACGTCAGAACTTCCAAAACATTTTTAACTTTTCAAGATCAAACACTCTCACATAGATAAATTTAAGGAATTCGTTGTTGACAGGTTATCTTCACGAGAAAAAAGGGGGGAAAAATGGGAGGAGTTACGAGATTCTCTGGGTTGCATGAAGATCTACTAATAACTTTCTCGCCAAGTAATTGGCGTCATCGGCGCATTCTTATTTCTGGAACTGTGGTTGAAGAGTGGGTCTGTTTTGATCCGTAAGTATGCTAAAATTCTACCCATAAATTTTTAATACCTTGTTTTCCCAAATTTACACATTTTGCTTGATTAATTTGAAGTTGTTTGTTTTTAGATGTGCGCAATGGCAAATGGCAAATTTCAGGTTATTCGTCAAATAACCAAGGTTTCTATTTCTCTGGTAAGTGTTTGCTTTATATCTTATATTTATTATTAAATATGAAAAGTAATTTTTGCATGCGTATATTTTTTCATGCTCATTTTCTGTTTTATGTGCTGGTAGATTTCTGGCCGATTACCGTGTTTTTTAGATAAATGCGCCATTTTCATTTAAGTCGCGTAGAGATTACTGTTTCCATTTTTTTTTTTTAAGTAACCACGAGAATTCTAACACATGTAAAAGCTTTACTAGTAAACTTTTAATTGAGGATATTTCAAGTAAATGTGCCATTTTTGCTGAGTTTGTGTAGAAGTTACTCTTCGTTATGCCTTTTTTGAGCCAATATGTTAATTAGTTGTATTAATTTAATGTGTTGTTTTGCAGATTAATGCAGTTTATTTGACAGATGTGTAATGCTGTTTGTTGAAAAATGCATTAGAACCAATGATGGTAAGATCTTGGCCTAGCAAATTGGTAAAATATTACCTGCTCTTAATTACTGAATCATATTGTAGGATAAAATCTGCTGTTTATGTATGAAAATTTGTACTTTTATCTCTGATTATGTGGTATATGCCCAGAATTTCATTATTAATGATCGATTCATTAAAATTACTATTTTTAATTGTCTACTTTGTTTTGTGTTGCTGCTGCTCATTCTGCATTTTTTTTTTTTTTTTTTTTTTTTTTTTTTTTTTTTGAGTAGATATAAAAATTCTTTTTTTTTCCCTCCATGTCTCTTTTTATTGTGCTGGTAAATTTCTGACTGAACTCATTTCAAGTTGAATGTGATATTTTCTTTAGCTCATGTAGAGATTCATCAAGTTTTTGCTGGTAAATTTTTGAGAAAATTTCAAGTAAATGTGCCGTTTTTACTTAGTTTGCGTAAAAATTGTTCTTCTTTATGCCTCTTTTGAATAAATATGTCAATTCTTGTTTGTATTATTTAATATCTTGTTTTGCATATTAACACAGTTTATTTGACAGATTGAGATGCGATTTGTTGAGAATATTCATTAAAACTAATGCGGGTAAGTTCTTGGCCTAACAGATTGGTAAAAGATTTTCTGATCTTAATTACTGAATTTTTTATTATATTCTAGGATAAAAGTCTGCTTTTTACGTGTGAAAATTTTTATTTTATCTGATTATGTGCCAAATTTAATGATTCAAGAAAAATGCCATTTCTGTGTGTAGCTAGTTCGTTGTTGCTGTTCGTCATGCAGTTCTTTTGAATATGTATCAGTTTGAAAATTTATTCTTACATGTGTATTTTTCTCATCCATTTTTGCTGTGCACTTTTCCTGTGAATATTATTTTTATTTAGTCTATATAGAATTTGCTCTTTGTACCTTTTCTGAATAAGTATGATACTTAGTTCTTGTTTGTGTTATTTTAATGCCCAACAATTCACTTTAGGAACTACTCTTATATGCGCCCTGAGGTCGCCAATAATTTTTGGCGAGAAACTCCACGGTGCCATATTACTTTCTAAGTTTTTTGGTCTACATTTTGAACTTTAAGCCTAAAATGTTTCTAAAAACGAGGTTTGCGCACATGCAAAAACCACGTTTTGAACACACAATTTAAGCTAAAACTCCCCCCAAAAAAACAAAAAATTTAGATAGCAAAAACGTAAAGTTTCTAACCAAAAATATTTTACAAGAATCCTTGCACACAGTGATATGTTTTAACTTTGAAAAGAATCTCCGAATTGCACAATCTAGGCAGCGAAAGAATCTACGAACTACGCACACCTCGCTTTAATAAATTAACACAACAACAATAAATTTCAAAGAATACCATGTACACAGCATTCTGTTTCAAATTTAAGAAACATCTACGAATCTAGGCACTATGCACTAATCAACGAAATAAACTAAAATAATTTTCAAACAATTAAAAAAAAAATAATAATGACAGAAATTCATACTAAAAAAACAATGAACATAACATTAAGAATAAAATAAAATGCACTTACCATGAATGAATGCTTTTTCGAACAGCAGAAATACCATTTTCATGCCGCCACGTAATCATTATCGTATTTATATGACAACCAGACACACTATCCAGAAAATTCATACAAATAAATGTTCATAAATAAAGGTTCAAAAACCTTTTCCTAAATCCTTGTAAGATTTACAGCCATCCGAAAAAAAGTTGCACAAGGCTCAATCCACTCTTTAATACATCAGCGTTTCCTTACTTCTATCATGCACAGCCACTAAAAATAATCTCCCAGACCCTCTTGCAACCACGTCTCTCATTGCAACATAGGCCGTTTTAAAACACGCACGACACGAACCAACGAGCAATTAAAACACTCCAGCAAAAGAGTATTCAACGTCAAAAGAGTTGCCATACAACACGCAATCGCGCCAAAACCCAGCGCAGAACACATATCGCCACATTTGGTGATCTGAAGGCGCATACAAGAGTAGAGCCCTGTGCACTTTTCCTGTGAATATTATTTTTATTTAGTCTATATAGTGCTCTTTGTACCTTTTTTGAATAAGTATGATACTTAGTTCTTGTTTGTGTTATTTTAATGCCCAACAATTCACTTTCGAATGTTTGTTAATTATAGAAGCTAATTTTACTTTTTGATTGCAGTTTTTAACTCTGTACCTTTTATCCAGACATAAATAACATCTGCCTTTTCATTTCTAAACTTAAAATATCGCAGTCGGGAAAAGGTTTCAATTTGAAAGGTAGTGGCTTTTCTAATTGCAAGAATTTCTCTTCAGAATTATAATTAGCATAAGCTGTGCATTCTCTGCTGAGTATTTCATTTCTCGAAAAGTCTAGTAGACCTTTTAAATCTCAATTTTAATCTTTAATTTTTGGCTATAATTAAGAACGAATTCATTTGGAAGCAATTTAAAAAATAAAGGCATTAAAATATATCTGTATAAATCAGTATATTTTTAATGTTGCCACGCAGCGTAAAAGCATCTCTACTTTCTCCCAGAAGTCTTGCTATTTTTCAGATTTCAAGGTTGACTTCTGTGCCTTGTTTTGCAGGTTAACATGCTTTATTTGATTGCATAGAAGTTAACTTTTCGTAAAAAGTCCTTAATTATAGTATCATTATTGGTAAATTCAAGGCTTAAACAGATTGGTGAAATGTTTGGCCTTAACTACTGAATTCTGCTAATTATATGGGATATGTCCATAATTTAAATTTTCTCCTAGTAAATCGATCAATTGGAACAAAATGTGAAATGAATTTTATTAAAGAGTATGTCATTTGCTGTATTCATAAATTTCCAGCCATGCATATCATTTAATAATTATTTGTTTTTAGGATAAAAAAAGTAGTAGCAGATGGTCCTACCAATTTGAATAAATATGGAATTTAGTTTTAATAGTTTTATTTATTTCATGTAATTTATGATATTAAAGTATAAAGGCTATGCTCGTGGATTTTCTAGTAAAGGCAAGTTTCCAATCAATAGCAGTTTTTATTTGAGTATGGTGGTTGAGCTATTTATCCAGCATTTTTTTAGTATGAAGACTAATCATACTAAAAAAATTTGAGCATTTCTTTCAAGTAAAAATCAGTGTGTTATAGCTGTGCCAGTATCATTCTGCATAATGACAAAAGTTCATTAAATATGTTAGTGACATTTAAGTGTTGGTGTTGATTATCATGCAATACTGAAACTAAATTCAGAATTTCATTATTGACAAAAAAAATTTTTTTTTTTTTTTTAATTCTGGGTATGAATGTCTGAGCATGTGTGTAAATTTTAAGTCATTCTGGATTTTCTTTTGTTTTTCATTTGATTAATTCGTTAAACTTGCTGTTATCTGTGAAAATTTTTCCTATTGAACTTTACCTTTCGTTTTAGTGGCACAGGTGATAATAGATTTTTAACCCCCCAAAAATGAAAATTTCCAAGTGTGGCTATAGAGAGTATGCTCAAGTTCATAAAATAACTTAGTTTTTCTTTATCATCACCTTTCTGTTGGAGAAGCTTTTCTGCAGCATACAGTGACCACCCCTTTTCTATTATAAGAATACAGTCAAAAGTCTTTAATCTGGACGTCCATAATCCGGAATGATCTATAATCTGGACCTCAAAGCTACAAACTTTCTGCGCATGCGCATATGCGTTTACGCATGCGCATATGCTTTTAATACGCATTTAATGTATAACGGACGGTATAAGCTAAGCTAAAGTTATCTAATTATCTATTTCAGTTAATGTTGCAGATTGCGTTGTTCCTTAATCTTCTAATTGGATCCGGCTTGTTATTTTTTTTGGACTGTTAGAGCAATTTTATAAAAGTAAGCTAGATTATGTCAAAAAGAATTTCCGATTCTGGAGCTGCCAAAGGATCTACAAAGCGAAAGCATGTTTTGATGACTATCAAACAAAAAGTGGAATTGCTGCAAAAAATGTATAAAGGCATATCCTTTGTTTCTCTAACCATTCCGAAATCTGTTTATCAATTTTACACCTCTTATAATTTCCGATTACGGACTTACTGTATACAGACTTATAAAGGGCCCCATATCTCAAATAGCTTAGGACCTTATTAAGTCTAAATATGGTTCTGCATACTGTTAAGCACGAAGTTGGAAGCAAAATGGTTTGTATATTTCTCGCTGCTCCTGGAATGGGAAATTTACCTTTGTAGGTTTTTTTTTTTTTTTTTTTTTTTTAAATTTTAAACAGCTTTCCTGTATTTTCTTGTTTCCCACCTACAACTCCCTACCAAAATGAATTTTCAAAATCCCGTTTTATATAAACGAGGTGGAACCAGTATTTAATAAGAAGTCTCAGGGAAAAATAATGACCACGTCAATTTTTTTTCTTCTACGGAAGTTACTTCCGTGGAAGAGCTTAGTAATGCATGTCTTCCTTTCTGGCCATGTCATTGCTTTAAGCTAAATCTTACTACGTTCAGCCGTATTGTTACGTGCCTGTTAGAGGGCCAACTCTGTTAGTTATTTCTGTACAGCTTTTTCTAGTTTTTAGTTAGTTAGCATTAGTTTCCTATTTTCTATCTTAAGTTAAAGCCCAAGTGGAGACTTCATGTAAGCCCAGGATTGGCCAACTGTAAATGGTCTCAAGTTAAATAAAAGGATATTTAAACCCTACTTTGGACTTGTCGCTCTAGACTTTTAGAAGTCAATGAATAGTCGCTACACAATTCTCAAGTATTCTAGATACCAAAGGCAGCCAATTTTACTACTAGAATCTTGTATCATTTATAGTGGAAAATTATATAGATCAGTATATAACTATTATGAAAATTTGAAAGCATCTGCAAGAAAATTGGAATGCAAAATACATTCATGTTTTATCAGGATAATGATTCTAAACATGCAGCCCTAAATGTTCACATGTGGTTTTCATACAACTGTCCGGAAGTTATCACAACTTCTTCCTTCATTTAGTCTTCAGACTTAAATCAAATTGAACATGTATTGAGTGAGTTGGAGAAAAGAATAAGTAAAGTAACATTTCTTCAAAAGTTCTATTTAAAGCTATTCTTGTGAAGGAATGGAACAACAGTTACTCAAAAAATATAGATAAATGCTTGTGAAAAGTGTAACTTTAGCTAAAAGATATTTAACCATTATGAGTATTGAATGTCCCGTTATTTTATTAATTTA